CTGCAGGGGCGGCTAAAAACACCAGCCGCCCCTACAGAGGGCACTGCAGAGGCGGCTAAAAACACCAGCCGCCCCTACAGACGGCACTGCAGGGGCGGTCAAGAAACCGCCCCTACAGAGGCACCCTCTGTAGGAACACCCTGGAAAGGGCGGCTGGCGTAGCCGCCCCTACAGCGGCTCTAGAGCCGCCCCTACAGTTAACTTCTGTAGTAGTGACCGAACCCACTCCACAAGTCAGCACGTGCCCCAAGAGTACTTTACTCTCACGGTGGTGCTAGGCCGTGCCTTTCCTCGTTGAAGAAGGGCAGGATACAATTAAATGTTACCACCGCCTCCACCCATGCTATCACTACCTCCACCTAAAAGCACGGCTAGCTCCACCAAAGCAACCATTAATGCCCGCCATCTTTTCACAAATGCAACTGTGTGTCATCATTGGTAGTACAGGCCTTCTATTCTAGCCGGAGGAGACATCACACAACATGATCTTCTCTTCTGCTCCCACATAAGCTTGCATTCCAACGTGAGCTCGCGACCACAAGATGTTGCGCAAGCGTACAAATGACAGAGCTCGTCCGTCGCCAGGGCCCACGACGAGGCTATGGAGAACTTTGTCATGGGGTAGAAGGCTCTCTCCAGTACCAATGATGATATCAGTTGCCACCGGATCAAGCTCGATGATGAAATCGACATACCCACTCCGAGACAGGTCCATGTACTGCTGGAAGTGTTGTCGGCAAGGAAGTACTACTCGGGCTCGGTCCGAGAGACTTTACTAGGGTGATGAGTCGACGCCGTCGCCACAGCCCTCACCGTCTCGTGGGTCACGAAGTGTTGTCGACTCCGGCTCGGCGAGATTTATGACCCATCAAGCACCTCCCCGTGGGTCACGCACTTGAGCAATCAATCCATAGGGAGATCCATCGGGCAATCCATAGGGCATATTTGGGCAGCCTGGGCAGCATTACCTTTGCGCCGCAAGTGATCGGGAAGGAGGACACAAGGCAATGTCCTCCCCGTCGAGAAAGCTTGCAGAAGAACAGGAGCCCATAGTCGGTTACGCCAAGGTGGACAAGGCGGTCATCGCAATAGCCAACGAGTACGATTGCTGAACTACGTATGAAAGGTATGCTTCTGGCAAGCATAGTCAAAGTATAATTTATGCGGAGATGCTAGCAGATTTTCACTCCCAAATATCTCAAGTACAGGCCGCCATCACTGGTGGGTTGGCCCCTTTCGGATGATTGCCCGAACACTACGAGCATGGGAAGTTCATGGTGGCCTTGGGCCAGCTCGTGCAGGACGAGCCGTGGGAGGTAAGGAGGTTCCATCTCTGGTACATGGAGGCGGCGAAAGTAGGCCTACGAGATTTCGTTGTCAAGGTGCCCAAGGAGTACTTCCACTTGCCCGACGATGATGAAGTCATCGTAGATTTCCATGACATGCATAGGCTACTGTGGCGTAAGGACCTCGACGTCGCTCAAGTCACCCTGTTTGCCCTGTAAGTTAATTACGACTTTCACACCATTGCATCGCTGTAGGTACTTTAGGAAGAAACTAATAATGCCATGACTTGTCCTTGCATGATGCAATCCTATGTATGCAAGAAATTGGGCAAAAATATTATTTACCTCTCTGTTGATAGTCGTTAACGTCAACCTTAGACTATCAACTAATCCATAAATTGACATGAGATGAATCACAAACCATAGTTATAGGTCTTGTTTCTAACAAGTTCCACAAATTTTGGTGCTCTCACTTGTCTTGCAGGATATTTAATTTTTCACTAAGCAAAACATTCTCAAATGAATAATTGGAGAGCACCATTGCAAAGAGCTCATTGAGACAATCAAAACGGATATATTATTTGCTATATTTGGAGCTCCGAGGAAAAAGAAATCAAAATTCACAAATTAAAAAAGGAGTGCTGACGTCATTGCTGACATCAGCACCCCTGAACAGTGCCATGCAGGCCTATCGAGCGGTGACACATGGCGTCAGTATGCGCGCACGCCTGCAACCGCACGCGAGAGAGGGCGCGCAGAGGAGCGCACGGAGGTCACTGGGGCCTGGCCCGTGGGGCACGCGTGGCCTTTGGAATGGAGGGGCGCGGTCCAGCGGGTGGTTTTGCTTGGCGGCGCGGCTGGGCCGCCCAAGCCGGCCGGACCAGCTTGCCAGGAGCCCATTTTTCTTCCAGAAAATGCTATAGACACTGCCGTTCGCCGGTTTAGCTCCGGTTCAGGGCCCAAATGGCCGGTTCTTCATAGGTTTTTTGCGCAGGTCAGTGGGGAACTAAGTTATCGACCATACAAGGTCGGTTGTGGGCAGGTGGCGCAGGGAGGTTGGTTGGAGGAAACTTGGACTTTACTGTTCCTCCATCCTGCAGTAGCCCCCACTCCTCCTACCCCTATAAAAGGACCCCAGACCCTCTCCAAGAGACACATCTACGCACCAAAGCTTCATTCTTTCATACACACATTGTAAGTATTGTCCCTCTAGGTGACCCTCACCTAGTTGTAATAGAGAAAATAGGGAGAGAGGAGAGGAGAGAGCTGAGGAGGAGCCAGATCTGTCAGATCCTTCTTGACTTTGTACCTCTACAGATCTGGCTCATCTTTGAGTAATTTTCAGATTCTTCATTTGTTATTTCTAAGTTCTCTATTTAATTAAAGTTTAGTTCTAACTTTACTTTACTTTTGGGATCTCTGCTCGCATTGAGTGCTCTAGTTATAAATTGTGATTAGAGTAGTAAATGCTAGCGTAGACGTGTTGTCTAGGCTAGAGTTTACCTGAGTTTACGCCCAATCCCACGGTTAGTTGTGGTAGCCCCAGAGGTGACAGCTCTGTCGGGCCTTTGTAATCCACCACGTTCCGATTGGTGTTTCGTAGAGCTTTTTGGCAGCCTTCCCCCGACTACTCTTCCTCACCTATTTCAAGGGTCGGAAAGGTACTGTTGCTCCAAAGTAAGTAAAGTGTGGTAAGCCTGATCTTTGATTAGCTAGTCCAACTTAGAAAACCTTAGAAAGTCCCTCTCTACCCAATAAAATATTTTAACTTATCTTCATCTTTAGATGACCTTAATTCTTACTAGTACACTTCGCGTTCCACGTGAAAATCGGTACCTTGGAATACTTCCGGGTGAAAGCTATATCGGAATTCATGCGCTTGCGGATTTTTCTGTGTGTGTTAAAAAATACCAACAAGCTTTCTGACGCCGTTGCCGGGAACGGTAGATGTGCTAGTTTAGAACCAAGTTCGTCCGTGTATCCGTTTACCTTTTACAACCACCCTACCACATGGATTCCACGCCTATTATTAAGTATTTGGCTCCGAAGGGCGAATCATTGGAGCCTCCACCATCTTCACACCCCATTCTTATTAAGTAACCTGACTATTGAGGTTTGCTGAAAATTGAAATATAATAGTAGTTTAATATGCATAGTATGTTCTGTGTAAATTATTATTCTATCTATCTCCGTTGGAGACAAGTAGGATCAGGCTCAGATAGTTTGAACAATTAGTTCAGTGGCTAGTAGGCCTATTTGCATTGTGTATTAATTCTTCTACAAGATGTATGTTGGTGGGTACTGTAATACAAGATGTGTGATGTATATAAGATCCTGGCATTGGAATTTATATTTTTTTGTTTTTTAATTCATTATCACAGACGCATATTGGAATTTATATTTTTTTGTTTTTAAATTCATTATCACAGACGTGTGTTGGCAATACGCGTCTGTGATAAGGGGTCATCACAGACACGTGTTGGCAATACGCGTCTGTGATAAGGGGTCATCACAAACGCGTATTTGTGATGACCCCTTATCACAAACGTGTGTACCCTATCATAGACGCGTTTTGGTAACATGCGTCTGTAGCATCAGCTTAAGCGCATCTGTAATAAGACCTTATTACAAACGCGTTATTACAGAGCGCGTCTGTGGCGTCTCTAAGGGTGCGTTTGTGATTTACTTTTTTTACATAGTGATATCAGACTCAGGCCCATATCCCACTCAGCTCTCACATCTCCCTTTATATCATCAATCGGCCACACCTATCCCTAGCTACTGCGGCAGCGGGGGTCGCGGCATAAGCCAAGTGGCGACAAGCCTACGAGAGGGAAGCACAACGACGGCGTGCTATGAGGAGATGATTGACGAGAGGGTCAAGTTTCATTCAACAGCCGTGGAGGTCATGTGCGGTGACAACGCGAAGTGAGCATCCCAGGGAGGCAGCGCCGCAAGCAGCAAGTGCAGCCTGAATGGTCAGCGAGCATTGTTAGTTGTAGGGATATTTATAGCTCATTTATCATCCTACTCATATAGTAGTTAGTTTACAAAAGTTCTACATTTTTCTCTTATAGAGCTTTTTATGCATAAGTTGGTTGTAAACTTATATCTTGCTTCTCTTCTCTTTCTTTCTCTCCTCCGCCTCAGCATAAAGTTCACCTGCAGCCCTTTACTATGCCTACTCTCATGGGCCCTCCACCGGACCATGGAGAGATTAATGACTGGGTCCTTGGAGCAGCCCAGATCGGCCGAAGAAGCTGCAGCCTAGGCTAAAATCAGACAGCCCCAGCCCAGCAATGTAATGAAAGTAGTCAACAGAAAAGAGCAGTCACAATTAACGAAGCCTAGGCTAAATGTTTCTTATGAGCATAATGTAGCCAAGAGAAGAGCATGAAATTCAGTCTCAGACAATGAAATCTCAAGGCAAGAGCAGCTAATAGTGTAGGACATACGTACACGAGTCATCGTCACAAGGAAAATTGAACCTTTATTAATTTGGGAGCAGCAGTAATAGGTAAACTAAACATTATTGCATCAAAGTGGAAATGTCAAAAAAATAATTAAGTTGAAAGCAAATTCAAGTGTGTATATAAATAGTTAAATATAAGACTCCTCATCCATCATGAATCCATATTATTGTAATTGTAAAAATCTCCGTGGCATGGCATGCCAGCAATATATATAGTATTATTATAATTCCGGATCGGATAATTAGCAGCTCCATGGGATGAAGCCAACCTTTCCTCCGGCCACGTCGTACACCACCTCCGTGGACGCCAGCGTATACGTCCCAATCACGGCGGAGATGACATCGCCGCCGTCGTCAAAGGCGGTGAAGGCGAGGCAGGCCATGGTGAATGGACCGGTGGTGGGATCGTCGTAGTACAGCATCTGGTCCCCGTCAATCAGCAGGCTCTCGCCGTTGCCGAACTCGAACCGGACGAGCGGTATGCTGATCTCCTGCAGCCCGGTGAAGTTGAAGCACGTGTCGAAGCCGGCGAACCCCGGCGACGAGCGGTTGTACTGCGACATCTGCTTCCGGAAGGCGTCGCGCAGCGGCGTGTACACGTCCTGCGCCAGCATGGTGAAGGTGGTCCCCACGTTCAGGTTGGTGCTGGCATTGCTGCCGAAGGTCCCTGGCGGGATCGGGAGGTCCTCGCCGCCGAGGCTCATCCCGACGACGTCGATGAAGTACATGATCGCCAGCTCGGGGTCGCCGTTGCTCACCAGCGGGGCGTGCGCGGTGCGGTTGTCGTCATCTCTGATAGTGGCGTTGCCGCCGAGGGAGAGGAAGCCCTGGGACTCGGGGACTGCGGCAGGCAGTAGGAGAAGGCGCCCGGCGGCGACGAGAGCCGCGATGGCAGCGAGTTGAGGTCGCGGGTGAGGTCGAGGGAACCCATTCCGGCAGGTCAGGAGGAGGTCCCACGTCCATGCAGACGAACCTGAAGTCGTCGACGGCCGTGGACGGCGTCAGCTTGAGCACGTCCTGCGCAAACGTGCCCTCGATGGGAATGTTCGGGTTGTCAAACGGACAGACGGAGCCGCCTGAGCAGTTGGTCGGACAGTCCGGCGAGCCGCAGAGGACATGGGTGAACGTCGAGGACCGTGATGTGTCGAACGCCGGGTCACAGTTGTAAACTGAGGCGCACGGCTTGCACTGGATCAGGGTTGTGCCGATCATGGTGTCCAAGAACATCGGGAACTGCTGCTCCGGCGTGCCGTAGCCGACGAGCACACTGTAGTCCAGCTCGCCCGGTAGCGTGGACGAGTCCGACGAGCCGTTAACGGGGATTATGGTGGCGGCCGGCGGCGGGGCCGAGGCCGGGGCAGCGACCCCAGACGATTGTGAGGCGAAACGGCGCCGGATGCGGGAGGTGTCACGACGCAAGACATCTGCCGCCGTTAGGGACGGCAGCCCATGCAATGGCGAGCATGGGCTCTGCCGGTGCACCACGGGTAGCTTCTTGTTGCCTGTGCCTATAAAAGTTCAACATATATATTTTTTTCATAGGAGAACAAAGTTCTAGCCTCTAATGGTCGACATATATATAATATAATGTATAAGAGCACCGCTAAGAGTCTTTTTTAAAACTAATTTTCCAAATCATTATTTGAAGAACTATTTGAGTAAAACCCATTGTCTATATCTTTTCACCCTCCAACAGGTTCTTTATATCATGTACGCACTCTAGATTATCAATTCTACTCTCCTTTTTTTTAGAATTACATAGTACAACGTAGACGACCACAACACGCACGCATACACACCCCTATGAACACAAGGACGCAAACCCTACCCTACTCAAGAAATCCGAAATAGAGGAGGATAATATCCCGAGATTAAAATCTCTATTCCTATAGATAAGGAATGATATAAAGCCGAGACTCTTGGAGTTGCTTTAACAGCGAAAGTTTGTTCCAAATTTTTGTCCACCGCACTCTCTCTCTCTCTCTCCATGTGTCCATGTGCTCCCATGCACTTAGGTGTTCCCATACTAATGTTCAAAAAACCTTGAAATAGTGCTTGAAAAATTCAACCAAAAACATGAATCGATAGATAATGCAAACATCCATCTTCATGTGAAATTTGTGGATGAATGAAAAATTCTACAAGGAGAAACGAAAAAAGAGAAAAATAAAGATATAATTGGATTGGGTGCACTGTTTACCTCGATGATCAACCCGCATCCTGATTTTCTCTTTTTTGTTTTCTCCTTGTCGAAACTTTTGTTCATCCTCAAATTTTGCATGAAGATGGATGCTTGCATCAATCTATCCATTCATATTTTTGGTTGAATTTTTCAAGCACCTTTTTCATGGGTTTTTTGAATGGGAACATGGGAGCATCTAATTAAGTGCATGGGAGCACAAAATATGTTCTATGTGTCCCTCTACTCCCCGTAGCATAAAAATCTAAGGCAATTTTACTACTACTACTAGTAGTAGTACGTGATCAATTATTATAGATTAGATTTCCAATAAGTTTATTATCTCATTCGTAACCTAAAACTCAAGACTCATGCTCTACAATAGCCGTACTGAGTCTAACTCTAAAACATATTAGAATGGATGATGCATGATGTAAATTTCATTGTAAAGCACGGGTATACTTGTTAGAAGAAAATAATAGAACTATATAATTAATATATATGCTCTATCTGTACCAGTTGCGATGGACGAGCAGGAGGTTGCAGTAGGCACCGCGGAGGCCTGCGGTGACCTGCCAGGTGTCTTGAAGAAAACTTGTCTGGACCCTAGCTTGTAGCTTGCATGGGAGGAGGCGCCATGTTGAGCAGGAAGCAGAAGCAGCAGCAGGCAGAAGAAGAACAGAGAAGCAACGGCGGAGGAGGGAGTCATTGTACTATGCATGAGTCCATCCTTTCTTTTCTTTATATATATATATAGACGACGCGTTACGAATAGTCGTCATTAATATCCTCACAAATCACTGTCCAAAGTACGTCGCAGCTGACGCGACCAAATTTGTAACCTCGGAAGCAGACAAAGGATTGTTGTTAGAAATCACGTTCGACTTGCTGGCCCAATGGCCAATGCAATGCAAGGATTATCGGAAATCACGACTTGCTGGCATGCATGCTTCCCCAATGCAATTGCAAAGCATATTGGCCGGCCGGCCGGCCGTGCAGCACAATGCTGTCAAATGCGCTGACGATGTTGGTCGTTGTGTTCTCTGTGCATGCGTTACATAATTTGGTATTGTTGTTATAAGCTCCCGAGTAATTAATCCGGAATACATTCCTGTTGAGGATGTAGTAATGCCCAAAGTACTTCATGGTGGCGTCGGTAGCGTTGACGGGCTCGACGAGCCAATGGCAGGGATTGTGGTGGCCGTCGGGGACGTTGTTGGGGAAGAGCCAATGCCAGGGATTGTGGCAGCCCGTGCAACGGCGAGCATGGGCTCAGCCGGTGCACTAGAGGAAGCTTGTTGTTTCCAGGTTGTAAAAGTTCAACATATACATAATAATATAGATATATATATAAGTTTTCCTTAGTTAAACTTACTCTCTAAATTATCATTTAGATAGCTATTCCGATACCATAAAAAAGACAATCGTTGTCATTTATTTTAGAACTGGCAATGGTAATAATGTCACTACTGGAAACCATAATTTTGGTTTCGATTTTTTACGGTTATTCGAAATACCGTCATGGTATTTCTAGTTATTTTTGACAGTTTAGAAAACACACAGGAAAATAAAAAACACACAGGTTAATTCAATGCACTATGGGTCCTTAAACTTTTCGTGATTCTCATTTAGATCCTCGAACTAAAAAAAGTGACTATTTGGGTCCTCAATCTACTATGGATTCTCACCTAGGTCCTCCAACTAAAAAAATGACCATTTAGATCCTTCAATTAATGTCGTGTCCGAGTGGATGTCCAAATCCCACCACATCACATCTATATGCCAGCGTGGTTGTGCCAGCATGGATGAGGCCAGGTGAAACTTACAGAAAAAAAACCCTTACTCACTTCGCCCCGTGTACTTTTTCTTTTGTCTCCTGTTGCACTACGGGAGAGGCAAAATTCCCCAAGTGTCGCTGGCTTCCCCGAGTGCCAAAAATCGGGCACTCGGGAAAGAGAATCTTCCCCGAGTGTTGCACTCGGGGAAGAATTGCACTCGGGGAAGAGAGGCTTTCCCGAGTGCCGCAGAGATCCTGGCACTCGGTAAAGATCAGCACTCGGCAAAGGCCCTCTTCTCCGAGTGCAACACTCAGGGAAGATCGGCACTCGGCAAAGAAACATGTTACTTGACGGTCCACCCCGCCGACGCCGTTAAAACTTTTAAAAAAAATTCTTCCCCGAGTGCCTTCCCTCGCACTCGGGGAAGAGGCCCTTTCCCGAGTGCCGGGACAGGGCACTCGGTGAAGACTTAAAAAAAAAGGCCCAGCAGGCCTTATCTAAACCTAACTGGCCACCCACCCGGCCACCCCACACCCGCATGCCGCCCGCCAGCCCGCCCGCCCGTGCGCTACCCCGCCACCGCCACCTCCTGCCCTGCCATTGCACCTTTCACGCACGCTGCCATTACACCCGGCCACCAGAGCCTCGCTGGCCAGCCAGCACCACAAGCCCAAGAGCTCGCTGCCTGCGCCCAGCAGCGCCCCCAGACCACAGCCCTCAAGAGCTATACGCCCCTCACAGTGCAGGCCCTCCAGCCCCGGCTGCTGCCCTGCCCTTCGAGATGGCAGACGACTCCTGGCGCCTCTGTGCTCCCTCAGGGTGGCCCGAGGCATGCCGCCTCGCGCCTCTGGCTGCCTGCCCCGAGGCAAGCCGCCCAGGCCTCTCAAATTTTCCCCTGCTCTGGCCCAGCCTTTCCTTTTGCCCGTCCGGCCTTTCCTTCCGCCGCTAGTCGTGGAGCAGAGAAGGAGAGGAGGTAGGTGGAGGAAGGAGGAGGAAGGAGGAAGAAGAAGGAGGAGGAAGAAGGAGAAGAAGAAGGAGAAGAAGAAGGGGAAGGGGAGGAGAAGGAGGAAGAAGAAGGAGGAGGAGGCCGGCGAGGAGAGGAGAAGGTCGAGGAGGAGAAGGGGAGGAGGTGCCTCCGTCGCCACGTCCTGTCCCGTTGTCGGCGTCTTCTTCTCCGCGTGCATGTCCCGCCAACGCCCAAGGTATACGAACTGTCCCATTCTGGTTGTTGGCCATCGCGCCGTTTATGTGTTGACGGCCTTCGTGCCGGAATTGTGGATGTGTGGGCCATCGTGCCCCAAATGTGGACGTCGGCCATCGTGCCGACGGTTTTTCTTGTAGGTTATCGAAACCTCCCCGTCCAGGGGAGGTTCTACCGAAATTTTGTACTTATAGTGTTGTTTTTCTTCTTTTGCAGAGCAGGACCTGTCGCAGGGGAATCGGAGCACCTAGGCGACCCCGATCGTCTTCGTCGGCGCTGCGGTCCTGCCTGCACAGCGCCGACTCGCCACTGCACCGACTCGCCACTGCGTCGCTAGCCTTTCTCCACCGCCACCCTAGGTATAATTAAGCTCTTTTCCTTACCGTTGTCGTACATAGATCGGTGTAGCCCAGTTAGGCGTCTCCCATCCGAAACAGATACGGTTGGAGGTATGCGGATCTCCGCATATCTATGACCGTATCTGTTTCGGATTGTCCAGGTGTAATTGGACAGCCCGCGGATGCGTAGATGGGTTAGTTTCCATGTTCTGCTCGGATCCGAGATGGAGTTTCGGCACCACCTCCCTGTTGTTCTCCAGATACACACTCTCCCTTCCAGGACGTGTATCGGGAGAGCAGCGGGTAGGTGCTGCCGAAATTCTATCTCGGATCAGAGTAGAGCATGGAAACTAACCTCATCTACGCATCCGTGCGTGGGATTAGGACCTATCCTCACCTATTAGACAGTAGGCATGCCGTGCAGATGCGACTGATGGTTACTTTACTCCGTTATGTGTATATGCTAGAGGATGGATAACTGTGAGTGGATGTACACGGGATGCCCAAGTCAGTCTCAAATTACCCGTGAATGGATGGATAAGACCGAGAAATTCTTGGACCATGCATTTAAGGCAGCTAAGGGAGCAAGAGACACGTTCTATCCCTGCAGCAAATGTGAAAACAAGAAAAGAAGAACAAGGGAAGTCATGATGAAGCATCTTTGGAAGTATGGATTTATGCCAAACTATACCCGGTGGGTGCACAATGGTGAACCCTACCGTCCTAGAGAGGAGGTCGTGAGACGAGGCTTGGAGGCATTTGATGGTGATGGCGGGGTAGCAGGATGGTTAGGTGACTATGCGGATGCGATGTTCGCTGAAGGACATACGAAGGACGAGCAGGAGGATGGGGGGGAGGAGCCAGAGCCAAGCACTAAGGCGTTCTTGGACATGTTGGAATCGGCACATAAGTTCCTACATGAGAAGACAACGACTTCTCAACTGGATGCCATTGGGCGCCTATTGGGGTTGAAGTCACAGCACAACATGACTCGAAAAATGCTTCGATGATATGGTGGCAATTATTGGGGATCTGCTTCCGGCGGGTCATCAGCTGCCTCCAAACTTGTACGAGTCAACGAACCTCCTTCGGGCACTGAAGATGCCGTATGACCAGATACATTGTTGTCCGAAGGGGTGCGTCCTATTTAGGAAAGAACACAAGGATGCAAAGTACTGTCCAAAGTGTAAATCCTCTAGATATGTGGAGGTAGAAAAAGGTGATGGCAAGAAGGAGCAGAATGAGAGGATCCCCATGAAAGTCCTACGACACCTTCCGATCATACTAAGGCTCCAACAGCTATTCATGAAAGAGGAGTCCGCGAAACAGATGAGATGGCACAAGAATGGTGTTTGATACAATAAAGACAAGATGATACATCCAGCAGATGGTGAAGCATGGAAAAGCTTTAATGCCAAGCATCAATGCAAAGATGAAGAGGCCCGTAATGTATGTGTTGCGCTGGCAACGGATGGGTTCAATCCTTATGGAATGATGTCGGCCCCATACACTTGTTGGCCCGTGTTCGCTATCCCCCTCAATCTCCCACCCCCTCGGGGACCTACTTCAATGGCAAAACATATTCTTGACGTTGATAATTCCTGGACACCCGAGAGACAAAATGGGTGTGTACATGGAGCCTGTTTATGATGAATTGATTGAGGATTGGAATGAAGGCGTATTGACTTACGACCGAGCTACAAGGAGGAACTTCAAAATGTATGTTTGGTACCAGTACTCCATGCATGACTTTCTGGCGTATGGGATATTCACCGGCTGGTGTGTCCACGGGAAGTATCCATGCCCGGTATGCAAGGTAGCTCTACAGTTCATTTGGTTGAAGAAGGGTGGCAAGTTCTCATCGTTCGACAAGCATCGACAGTTCCTCCCTCTTGACCATGCATTCAGAAGAGACACCAAGAACTTCACGAAAGGTGCCACGGTGATGACTAGTGCCCCTCAGAAGATGACTAGTGCCCAGGTTCATGCTTAGATAGATGCTCTCGTGGTCCCAACGCAGGAAGATAATCCAAAGAAGGGTAAAAGAAACAAAGGTAATCCAAAGAAAGATAAGCCAAAGAAAGATCGCTTTGTGGGCTATGGTGTGGAACATATGTGGACTTATAAGTCAGGATTGGAGAGGCTTCCCTATTTTGATGACCTTCTCCTTTCACATAGCATAGATGTAATGCACACTGAGAAGAATGTCGCCGAAGCACTTTGGGCAACACTCATGGACATTCCTGACAAGACAAAGGACAACCCTAAGGCCAGAGTAGACATGGCAACACTATGCGACAGACCTAAGCTACAGATGCTGCCTCCAAGAGACAACAAACCATGGAAAAGGCCTAAGGCTGATTACGTCTTGGAAAAGAAGCACATGACAGAA